GCAAACTAACAAAGTTTACCGCTCTACACTTAACGCCCTGTTTAATAGGAAAAAACAATGCACAAAACGTAGTCACAAGTACAGAGGAGTGCAAACTAACAAGTGTTCCAGTTGTTATACTTCGCTGTGTATGAAAAGCGTGCTCTTTTCGCAAACCAGGCCTGTGCACCCAGCAAAGTGACCTTTCTGTTGGGCCTGGCAACTAACGCAATCGTTCCGATGAAAGCCGAAGGAAAACGATTCTCCAAACCAAAGGATAAGCGCGCGTACAAGCATTGTACCCCCCCTACCCCACATTCGTGGGGCAAAGTATGTGACATAAGCGCGCATCGGCGCATCATGACGAGCTGGGCGCTGAGTGCGGGCGGCTTTTTTTTCTTTCTTTTTTGAGTTTTCATATTCATAGATACGTATACATATACAGTGAATGACGGCAGTGGCAAACAACCAGCCGAGACTGCCCACTCTTAAAGACAACCATAAAGTTTTCAAAATTCACGGACGAGGTAGTAAACGTAAAACCTGCAGTAGGCTTGACATCGATGACGCTTTTCTCCACAGGAAACTCTTGAGCGCGGTTGATAACGAAGGGATCGCACGTGCCATATTGAGCTGCGCGCTATACATGGGGTTCTATGTATAGGTAAACGAGAATAAAAGAATACTGCATTGTACCCCGTCCTGCACTATAAGCAGTTGCGTTATAAGTGGCCTACACTATATAGGGTGAAAACGACCACGTGTGGATGCTGCACTCCGTGGTGCAATCTTGCACGTGTTCCGAATTCTGACGGAGGCGTTCTGTTCCATAAAGTCGCACGCGATTCACCCATTTGAACCGTGACGAATGCCGTGACGTTCTATGTCACGTGAGCCATGGTGCCACGAGTCTGCTTTCGTTCATTTTTCGGACGGAGGCGAAGGCATGGTTAGAGACACCCTGAAACGAAATAGATGGATTGAAAAGGCGGCGAGGCAGCATAGATTGAATTGAAAATTAAGCACTTCGCAAGTTTTCAGTATCCGGGCATTTGGAGAACAGGGAATTTCCTTTCTCTGCCACGGTTTTTCGCCTCGCCTGTGCGGTTTCTGCAGCTGAGTAGAGACGACAAAGCAAGGTAAGCGATACATTCGAATAGTTGACTGAAAAAGAGTTCCCCCAATGTTTTCGTCAGTCAAAACAAACAGTGCGTGTGTTCTGCGACAAACTTGACCCTATCAATAGATACCGGCGAGCCAGTGGCCTCGAAATATACACCAATGTCAAAGAACAAATCGCTCAGACCACTGGATGGTCACTCACATTAGTGCCTCTTTGATAGCAATGGCGTCGCAACGGGCCTCATGCACTTACATTGTGGCTCAGTCCCTTCTCTGTTGTCGTAGCCACCCCGCCGTCTGTCTGTCCATTGTCATAGACAGACAGACAGAAGGTCAGATGAATAAATAGACAGACAGACGAACAGATAGACAGACGGACAGAGAATTCACTGTTTACCGATGAAACCTCTTCAGGCTTCACCCCACTCATCATCATTCACTCCGGGGATAGGCTGTGATTTCTTTGTCTGGGCAGGCCCTTCATGGTTAAGCATGTCACTTAGCTCCGGCCACAGCCCCTGCTGGTTGGTGATGGTGAAGCCGTGTCCCAGCGCGATGGCTTTTACTGCAAGCTGGGGCAACACCACCTAGACTTTTTTTCAAGGCCTCGGCAAGTCTCCGTCTCGTCAGCGTGACGTCACTGCTGTGAGATCTGTGAGAAAGCAACGCTTGACTGGCTGAGGTCGGAATGGCTTGCGGATTCTGTTCGCCAAATAGACAGACAATCTTTTTTCCTTCGAAACAACTTTTCAGTAGGCAAACTGTAGAAAATTATTACCTACTGTCTAATGAAAAAAGCTTAGCAATATTCTATCTTTCAAATGATGTACTTATTTACTTAATTTATTCACGTTTTAAACATTTTTGTGCACAGCCGAGCGAAGTTGGCAGCGCATGACAGTGCGTCTGGCCACATTGATCTTACGGGCTCGCTCGCTCTGCTGGCTGTTGTGGTTGTAGGCTAGTTGCATTTTGTTACCGCTCACGCTGTTTTTTCTTTCTCTTGTGCTGTGTGAGCATGGTTGGGTAAACTACGCAATATGCCTGGATGCTGCTGTGCACTGGAGTGCAACTCTAACAGTGCTCATGGACCTAAAGCGCGCGTCTATCGGTTTCCGATGGACGCCGACCAAAGAACCGCATGGACGCCAGCTTCCAGGCAGATCTCACACTGATGACGTCACGTAGGCTTGCGGAGGCCTGAAAAAAAGTCTAGGTGGTGTTGGCTGGGGATGCTCCACCATGAAGGCGAGCATCATCGCGCACTGAGCCTCGGAACCGCGGAGACGCTCTTTTTGGCTACCGGTTGAGGTGCTCTCTGCCATGAGTTCACTCGACTGAGCCAATAGCTTCAAAAAACTGCGCCGTTTGAATTTAACAGTGATGGAAACATCAGTAGAGCAATTGCGTGAAACAGGCTTGTACCTAGCGCCATCACTAAACGTCCCACTGAATGACAGCACCACTTAGCATCATTTCAAAACAATAACGAGAAAATTGTGCTGCATTCCATATTCAACGTCTGAAAATTAGTGCCAACACATTTTGGTAGTGAGCAATAATAGTTAAACATTAATCAATATGTTAGCAACACTTCGCAACTTGCTATACGGTCCCTAAGACGACGTTCGAATTGTAACACAGGCCTCTATTTCCCTCATTGGCTGTTTGCTTCCCCTCTTCCTCGCAACCGATGCGGAAAGTCCACTGTTTGACGTAACGAACGAAACGCATCCGTCCAAATTCGGAACGCGTACAAGATTGCACCAGTGCATCAACCATGACCGGACTCTGTATAGAGCTGGCTGCCTTGATCGAAATGTGCAGCTGCAAATGTAATGAACGTTATCCTAGCTATTTCTAATAGCTTAAGAGACAACCATAAGGCATGTTTGGCTGGCGGCACTGGTGGTGTTTTCTGTGCACTCGTGCGGCGTCATACGTTCGTCTGGGTACCAGGGTGCGGTGCCGCATGTTCGGCTGGGCCGGCCTTAACACGAGTGCACGCCACTGCGAAGCTGGGGAGATCGACAGTGGCGCGTGGTGCAATCGCATCAGCCCCCGCGCACTCGCAGACGATGCAGTGATGTTCCATCATTGCCGGCGTAATTTACAGCTGGTGCTGCCGCAGAACACGGCTGGACGAGACGGTAAAACATGATTGAGCTTACATCGTCCGACCGTATTCGTACGAGGCTACTTTTGCTGCTGCGATTCCACTGGACACCGAAAACGAAAACCCTGGTCGAGTTAGTACAAAATCAATGCAGCTCAGCCGCCTGGAGAACAGACACGCACACACTGGACACATAGCGTCTCGCAAGTGTCTCTCATTGTTTGATTTTTCTGTATGCTCTCTCATTACCAGCACAAACAGAACGCTGGAAATTGTCTGCTACATGGCGTCTGTCGCATACAGCGCTGCTGTAGCGGATTCGAGTTTTGTGGTTCACACGTTCGTCTTGGCCAAAGTGAGGCGTGAAACTCTGACGGTGTTTGACGTAGTTTCCCTTTTACCGTAACGATGCCAGTGCACCTCAGCCGAAGATGCCATTAGTGCGAAAAATGATACAGACTGGATGTCCTTGCTGCCCTGGACCTATAAGACTGTTACACCGAATCCCACACAACTGAAGGTTTTTTTAAATGTGGAGAATTTCTTAGTCGCACGATGTCGCACTTTGGCATAAGGGGTGGCGCGGTCTACACCCCCACTGTGCATGTGCCCCAACTCTCCTCCTTTCCTTTCTCCCAACAGCTGCACCTTACACTCGCCACTTCTCTCCTACCACCTGCTTGCACTCTCCGTATCACATCACAACGCCGACGCAGCGTCTGCTAACCCACGCTAACCACATTGCCAATGTGAATACACCCTCTCTCTGCTCTCCCTTCAACGCTGATGCAAGCAGTGTCTACTAGCAAGTTTCTCAAGTGAAAAAACCGACTGCTCGTGCCGCACAACCCTTCACTGGCCACCCCATTTACTATATATAGGCGATGGATCTTGACCTCCAAGGTAGTGCCAGTGGGAGATTTCCCCTGTGCGTTGTTGAAATATAAAATTTGCAGCAGTGTGCATTAACTAAAAGCAGACTGCGGGTCTCTGTGTCCAATCGATGTCTTCTGTCTCTCATTAGCCATTATGAGCGATTGGCATGTTACAGTAGGAAACACTGGTCCATCACAGTGTGTTTTGCGCTTCGCCAGGTTTCTCTCCGACGCAACGCCGTGATGAGCGCCAGGTCAACATGGCCACCACTGTAAGCGTTAGTGCCCGCTGCTTTGCATCTATACATGGTTCCCTTCAACGAGAGATGATGCAATTTTTAAAAATGTTCTTTATCTCCCAACACTTCTAATATATGCATTGCATAAAAATTTACAACACAAGCGTTCACATAAAGCTTATTCACAGCACAATTAGTGTGCAGCAACAAGGATGCAATATACACCATGAAAAACACACCAATAGCAAACAATTTACAAACAACCCTCCACGTGTGCAATAAAAGGGTGTTACGTTGTCAGTGCCAGTGTGTCTTTCTACTGTTCACTTTGTCCTGTAACTTGCGTCGTTTTCTTGACATTTTAACAATAGGCAATTGGCCTAATTCAATACTAAACTTCTGAAGTGGCTGAAATGATGCAGGAGTAATGCTTCCAGGCTGTCTTGCTAACACACTAGCTAGTCTATGAGGAAAAAGAAAAACATTGCTCAGCTGCCTCTATTTCTATTGTAAGAATAATTGTGCTCTTGATTCATGGCTTGTACTGCATTCCAAAAGATCACTTTGTTTCCTGAAACTGCTCCAAACAACATCAGTTTTCAGTTTAGTGTAAAAACCCGCTTTATGATGTGTGCAGCTGGCTTTCAAAGGCAATCAGATGGAACAAACCTCGTCCACTCCCATGTCCAGTAGCCTCTTGATCTTTGCGTCAAAATCAGGGAAGTGCTTTGGACCTGCAGAATTCGAGTTAGCATCAGGGCCAAGCAAGAAACCTTTAACCAAACGCTAGTGAGCACTTTACGTTAAGCAAATTCAATGCAGTGGCGATTCAGGCAGTTGAGGATTTGGATAAATTTTAAGAGCAGTAAAAGTGCTTTTTTTGGGACAGAAGAATTGTGTTATGAAGCAGATCTCAAAGAAAATTTTAGTTTTCAAGTTGAAAAAAAAAAAAAATGGCACTTTATATCAGTTTGAGCAATAACTGGTGCACACTCCTAACACTGTGAGAAGAGAAAATAGAAAATGGTGCTGTACAGCAAGAGCCATTCAACAGGCTCATCTTCACACAAAATGACATACGCTGAATTCATCATAACCAGAGGTGACAGATGCCACAGGTTCAAAAGCCAGTACAGTAAAAGCTCATTAATTGGTCCCTTGTTAATTGGCAAGATCTAATAATTTGAACACAATCTTTGGTGCCCCGGCAAGCACACTTGTTGGTTTTAAAGGGAATTCGGTCCTTAAGGAGTGCGAAAGCAATGAAGAACAGATACACGCAGGTCCTGCATGTGTGCATGTTAGAGCACTGCACTGGCCTCAATTTCTGGCCAAGAAATTTGTTTAAATTTACCTGCTTGAGCCTGGCTCGCCGACTGGACCTATGCTATCCTTGCACATTCCAACGCTGTTGCGACAGTATCATAATATCTCACACTATATAGCGCACAGGTGTCAAACAAATGGCCTGAGGCTCGCACACTTTATCCTTTTTTTCTTCTTCTCAATATATGACCTTAAATTACATAGGCATGACAGGTCTTGTGATCCACCCCATGTATCTAATAAACGTTGATTCATAACTGTGACCGAAAGGTCTATATTTCAGAAACAGCGTCAAGGTTTAAGTCATTCTGGAGATAGGTATAGAAATGCTGTTGGAATCTTGCCACCAAATACCCTTCAGAACTGACTGATATATGACATACGGGAGAGGTTCTTCAAAAGGCAAAACTAGGTGACATTTCGTACAACCTATTCTCCGCATCCATTCTTCCTACCCATTGTCCTGGCCCTTGCGGTAGTAAATTTTCTTGAATAAAGACGATTAGCTGATGCGAGTTTGTAACCTTTAATATAGCGAAACAAGACGAAAGCTTAGACGCTAGCAAGGTGGCCGCACTGAAGCAGAATTTGCAGGTCAATCCAATTTACATGACCACTGGGAGCCGTGAAACGCCACGGAAAACAAATGCCTTTATAAATGTCTTTATAGAGATTTTGTGTCGCAAGACTCCATTCAGTCCTTTAGTTTTAATATAGTTGTAATATTCTAGAGTGTTTCCAAACTTTATAGCTCTTGCGATGATTAGTTATAAATTTTTTTATAATACTTTAAACACTGTGATCACAAAATAACATTTGGGAGACAAAACAATGAAGACTACGAAAGCCCAGAATAGCCAGATGTTTACTATGTAAGCGCATGGTCTGTTTACGTTTAGCTCACCAGTTTCCGATAAATCAAGTAGCCGCTTATGCAAGAAATAAAAGAAGTTCCGTACAAATTCATCATAAAACTTTAATAGCTTCCCCCAGATAAAGGAAGCGTTGCTTTTTTTTTTATAAAATGTGAAACATGTATGTGTGCGCAACATTTGGAACGAGCTTAGAGAGACACAAAAGGGAAGAACAATTTTTCTATTATCAGTGAATTACTCTTTTACTTACGATTCCAAAATAACCTCGTTCAGCGTGACAAGTTTTTTGGTAAGCACGAAAATGTGCAAAAAGGAAATCTCAAAATCCCTGCAGCAGAAGTGATAGATTCTGACGAAGCTTGCTGGGGCCTATGTAGATCATAGTCGGTAACGGTCAACTAAATTGACCTTGAAACTGGTTACAGACTTAAGATACCAAATTTCAGGATACTTTGAAGAACCAGTGCCCCCGAAATACAACATATCCAGTTTCAAACACGCCGGAGAATTCTGGAGTGAAACTGTGCCTTTATTTTATCTTGTACCCCTAAACTTATGGTGGTGAAATGAATGACATTTAAGTTTTCAGAGCACACTTTGTAAGTTAAAACAAAATCAGCACATCCCCTCAGTGTTCCTTTATGAACTGTGCGAAAGTCTCAGCCCAGCCTGATCGGAGCCCACCACTTCAAACCCTGGCCCAGCGCTAAGCCCGGCAGCTTCAGGCCCGAGCTCAGCCGAGGTCTATCGTGAAACCCACTTTACCTGGCGGGCTTGAGTTTTCCTGCAGGCCCAAGCCTAAGCAGTGCTCTACTCTGTGCATCAATGCCTGCCCTGCATGTATCTCTTGGTCGTCCCACTGTTTCTTCTGCAAGAATGAGCAGTTTCCAACTACGCCAAATAGCCATGCTGCTACAGTTCGGTCACGCTTGGCTGCAACCCACTTAATCCAGATGATCCTCAGAGTGCAAATATGTGACACAAAAGAGTGAAAGCGGCATTAAAAGACAATCAATGAACAATTGGTAAAAGACAATGAACAATTGGCACACAATTCTCGTTTAGCAAATACCACGCTTTTCATAAAATGACGAAAAATAGCATAGCGAATGCCAGCCTACTACCCCAAGATTATTATGCTGTAGTGGGCATCAAGCAAGTGTGCTTGCAGCAGTTACCCAATGAGTGTTTAGAAAAGGCTCTGAAAGGCTCCTCTTCTAGCTTTCGCTGTGACAGTACTGCACCTTCCGCGCAGGCCTGGCGTTTTTACTCCCCGCAAGCGAACTTAATGGGCGCTATCTGTGATCACATCTATAGTACCTGTTTCAATACTGCAACAAGTAGTATTTTGAGTTTTCGCTGCATGCCTTCAAGACTGCGTATTCACCACAATAGGCGTGCGCAAGATTCCCCTTCAGAAAGGGGGCCAAAAGTCCATTGCAGTGCACTTCCCCTACACTTATGTCAATGTATGGGTCTGACTTTGCACCCCCCTCCCTATTATGCCAATGGAAAGGGTTGACTCTCGATGTGACCGGAGAGGGTGGCCTCTGTGAAGAGTGTGGTTCGCTTTCCAAGTTAGTGCCTATGAAAAGCGCGCGTCACAAAAAAAGGAAGAGATGTCAAAGTGCACACGCGGTGCTGCTTAGATCACGACAACGGAGAAGACGTCGCGAGTGAAAGCACAAGGATGCGGCTCGACGTGAACAAAAAGAAAAGAGAACCAATGGGCAGTGACCACGAAAGTCTCGACACGACCAATCAGGACGAGACAAGTGGGCCGAAGTTTAAGGGAGGTTCGGAGCCACTGAAAAGCAAGGGAGTTCGAAGAGGACGTGGCGAGTGGAAGGTTGTCACTGGACCAGGCGCGAAAGATGGGCCGCTGGGCGTCGGACCCGAGCCTCTAAGACTTCAACCGGCCGGGGTATCCTGCCCTTGTGCTCCCGCTCGAGAGTACCGTGGCCATCCGGTACTGAACTTCTTCCCAGGGCCTTCGGACTTTGCTTTCTACAGGCGAGCAACAGCCGTGGGGCTACGAGCCCGAGCTGAGCATTGAGCTGCCTGACCAGGTCGACCCTGGTTTCTTGACGCGTGGCCTGCAGCAGCCAGCTTTTCCTCAACACCAGCCAACACGCCTCCTAAGCCAGAGCTACCGCGTTCCTGTTTGTAAAACGTCGCCTAGCTCTCAACGTGTTGGTAGGACTGAAATACCATCTTTCACCTCTCCACCGCTCAGCCACGTCAGGACTATTTTCTGTAGACTAGTGTTTGAGGTTTAGTTTTGTGTACCATCAGAAGTGTTTTACTGCGTGTGGTGCATTTTTTATGAAATGTGTCAGGTTTTGGGGTTTTTTTTATATTTTTACCTCTTAATTAAACATTTTGTGTTGGTTTTGTTAAAAACCAAACGGCTTTGTGTTTCTCTGAGATTCAGCGTTAGAGAGCTTTTACTGACATAAAAAGAACCTCCATCTATGATGGAGAATAAGCGAGCCAGGTTTCCCCGGCAGCACATGCGGTGCTCAGCAGTTTTGTTTTGGCCTCGAGTGTAGGCCATGCTCACAGCACTGCGTCGATGCTATGATCGCGTTGTTAGCAGCCACGGTTTAGTCCACCACAGATGCAGTACTCAGTCGTTTCATTTTGACTGAGGCGAGATGTCAAAAATGTGAAAAAGATGGAAGCTGTTGAACATAAAAAATTTTAGCTACGATCTGGCACAAACAGTCAGTTGCTGGCTATTGTTCCAGGGAAAGAACTGTCATGTGCATGTAATGTTAGTGGTGGCCGTACATAATAAGAGAAGGGTTTAGAGCCTGTTTCAGGAAAAGACAATGGGGACTCGAGGTGCAGTCACCTTGTGAACGAAGTTGTATAAGTGATGAATAGATATATTCATCAAAAAATTGAAAGTGCCTTAGTAAAACCAGGGGCTCTCGAAGTCAGTTCCGCGGAATCTAAGGGTTCCTCGGGACTCCGTAAGCCACTGATAAATTTTCTCTCTTTCCGCACTCGCCAACTCAACTTACTTAGATGGCGATCTCGAGGTGTGATTGATCTAAGGAACTTCCATTTTTCACGCCCGAGCATCAATAAGCACATTTCAGTGCATAACAAAAATGCGCAAAGCAGCACAATAAATCCTGCCAGCAGTTTGTAGCCAGCCAGACTCCAAAAATGTAATGCACGGAGGCTTAAATCTTGGGGAACTTGTACTACAACCATGTGCATTTCCGCTATTTGAAGATAAGTGCCACTAGTGTACGCAGAAAGTTGGAAGGTATAAAAAAGAAAAACAAAAGATTGCACACTGAATTCAGCAGCTGACATGCGGTTGGCACTGAGTGTGACTTAACCTCAGATCAATTCGTTGGTGCAAGGAAAGTGAGTTAAGTTGCATGTTGGTGAATAAACTTTTTATACATATACCTTTACTCTTGAATCTATAGAAAATAAAAATGATAAAAGCTTCCTTAGCACTTCTTAGCAAGGTTCCCTGGCACACACATGCTTGAGACACCCTGTACTGGTTC